AAAATTACATATAAGAGGAAGTGAGGGGAAAGGGGGAAAAAAACAAGAGAGAGAAATGAATTACAGTAGATGGGGTAGGGAGAGAAGATGGGAAGGGAGGGGAGAGAAGGGGAGGGAAGGAGAGGGGAGGGGGGATAGTAGAGGTTAGGAAAGGCAGCAGAATACGACATACACTAGTATGGCAGTAGGTAAAAAAAGTGGATGTGTAACCGATGTGAATCTGCATAATGTATATAGGGTAAAAATGGGAGCTCATAATCCACTTGAATCAAATGTATGAAATATGATATGTCAAGAACTTTGTAATGTTTCGAACAACTAATAAAAAAAATTATATGTCTTCCTTGGGAAAATGTCTATCCAGATTCTTTGCTCATTTGTTAAGCAGCTTTTTTTTTTTTTAATCTTGCTATTGAGTTGAAATCTTAGTAATCATCCCATCCACCACAACTTCAAGGAACTTTATCCTGGCATCTGTCTGTCTTGGACCTCATCTGAGGAACTGTGAACTGAAGGGTGTAGCATTACATTGGTAGGTTTCACAGAGCTAGAAAGTTCCAATGGTTGACAAATAAGTATAATCCAGTTGGTACTTTTGACCCAGATTTATTAAATATTTACAAAGAATGCCAAGTCTTCTGGAATGTGGCAAAGATATCGAGCTGGAGAATATTTCCCCTTGTTGATAATGGTGTAGGGGAGGGAGGAAGGAATGAGATCATGCAGAATATTTATGTGTCTGGCAACCCAGACTCTGACAATTGAAGAGTTAACTCTGAACCCTCAGTTAAGACACAGGAAAGCAAATCCAAAGGTCAGGATGATTTGTTCCCCAGCCATTGCATGTCACAGCCCGAAAGGCAATAGGACACTGTTATCCACACAAAATAAATCAGAAAACATGGAAAATTGGAGTTGGTCATATACAATATCATGATAACCAGTTCTGAAGTGCCCTGAGTCTCCCTTTCCTGCAACTTTCCTCAAGTAAATCACCCTTCCACACCTCTATTCCACTCTTCTTAACTCCTTGACTTCCAAAGCACCAAACAATTTCTTGTTCTCCCTGCTGAAGCCATTACAACCCTGCTAAGACAAGGGAAGTGACTGATGAGACTTAAAGGGGCTCATTTCCCAGAGAGTTCTTATATTCTATAGGACATGTAGTAGAACCTCCTTAACACTTTGCTTCCAGTATCACTTCCTTGGTGCAACTTCCATTCTCCACTTCACAGTAGGCGAATCGACTCATTTCACCCCTCCCCCTCACAGTAAGTGTCACCAATAGTCCCTGAACATAGGTCAATGAACACTCAACCTAGGTAGGACATGCCATTTCTGGGTTTGCTTCTTGTTTGGTTCTTTCCTCTCTTTGCCCCTGTGGTGTTCTGTATCACAGAGGGGTTGAGCTTCACAGACTCTGGACTCTGCTGGTTTCTGGCTAGCTGTAGCCAATGGAAGACATTCTGGGAGATTGCAGGGCAAAAGGAATCAGGAAATCAGGGTTTTCTTTCTGGCACAAGTAGGCTGCCTCTACGTGGGTGTAGTTCCTGCCACCAAGATGCCCTGGTTTCAGCCCTGTATTCTAGCCTGGACACTCTTCTTACTTTATCTTTTTAGCTTAGAAGAAATATCAACTTCTTCTTTTTATGGTTTCTGAAACATTTCCCATTTTGTTTCTGAGCCTTTTAAACACCACGAAATCAACTGACTGCCTTAAATTCCCTGTTTTAAATACAGTGCTTCCTGTTTTCCTGCCAGAGCAATAACTAGAATTAGAATCATTCCAATCAGATTTGATTTGTGGGTGCTAGGAGAAAAGAGGTCTCTCTTCCTGTTAGATTCTAAGGCTCTCAGGCTGTAGGATTAGGAATGCCAATAGCCAGTTTCCAGCCATTTAACCCCCATTTGAGAATAATGTCAATGTCAAACAGAAACATACAGGTTCAGGAAATACAGGGAAAAAAGAATCCTGGCACAACTTATATCTCCTTGATCTATCTGTCACTAGAGTTAGTATTATCATATATTTTATGTCCCAAACCAAGACACTTGAAAGTAAAAAGGGCTGCTGATAGTACTTAAATGAGGACAACAGGCACAAATTGGGACTGGCCAGACAAACATGAAACACAGAGTCATTCTACCTAAAACCAGCTTGGTCCTTGGACTTCACATTAATTGAGCCAGTAAATTCCCTTTGACCTTTAACCTAATTTGAGTTGGATTTCTATCACTAAACTCAAAGATTGCTGACTAGTGCATGAGATAAAGATTCAAACCAAAGTAGTTTCTACTGGTAGGATTTCAGTGTAAAAGACAATCAGTGTTCACTTAATAGACTCCACAATTACCTGTGGAGCACATTTACCGTACAACTATTTTAGAAACAATATATGGGATTTTAGTTGTTATATCCCGAAGATACTGAAAAAAAAGTGCAAGGAAAAACAAAACCAAAACAACCCTATCATCACCAAGGGAAATCTGTGTCCTCCACCCTGAGGCAATATATTGGCTCTTTGGTAATTTGCCGGGGGAAGGGATTACATTTAAAGTAGGACTTACTTATGGGAAGGGATTACATTTAAAGTAGGACTTACTTAAGTTAGATTGTCATCTGAGTACAAATTTGGGGTCAACCACATCTTAGAATTTTTCCACTGCTCATCCCCTAATTAGGTCTAGCACTGTACCAACACTAAGAACACTAGTCTTTTAGAACTGCTTTCCTTCTTATTCTCTTCCCTTTTCTTTTTCCCATTCTTCCATTTACAGTTTTTCTACTACACACACCTAAGAATCCAACAGACATTTACATTTTTTTTCTACTAAAATGCAGATTCTGTAGGGAATGTGAGAAGGGAGTGGTGTGAAGGGAATGCCAAGCTCACATGACATATTAGTTCCTTACTTCAGTCACTCACAGCAGCTGCCTAGTTTATGGCAAAACAGAAGGCAGCAATTCAAAGGCTGTATCTCCTAAGTCCAGTGGGAGTGCTCCCCCACCTCAGTGGCTCAATGGAGTCATTTTCTGTTTAAGAAGCCATTCATAATTCAAGTGTTTGACATTCCATGAACTACATCTTCTAAAGCCATAAGGGCTGATTGTGACTTTTTGATTTTTGTCACTTTTTGTCACTTCACCAATAGAAAGGCAGATATATATTAAGATCTGGAAGGAAATATCAGAGGCTTTAGCAACCAATTAATATGTCTCACCACCATTCTTCCACCATTTCTTACAAAGCCTATTTCTCTGGTCACAAAACATGATTTTTTTTTAACAGACCCCCCCCCAAAAAAAAGCCAATTTCCAGACGTTAAATTGGTGCCAAATGCTTCATTGGAAATAAAAGTGCAAAAAAGTAAAAGTACAAACACATACAATTTTAAAATATTTAGAGATCAAAGTATGATATATATACAAGCAACTCCCTACCCTTCATTAGGAGTTATTTTGTTGAACAGGTAAATTTTTCTCCTCATATTCTTTTCAGTAAATTTGGAAAAAAATTGCTATAGTTTCTGCATTTCTGTCAAAGTTTGTCATATACTGATGTAAGGAACAACGACCATCTTGAATGTTGTGTAGAATTATTCACCTCATTCAATTAAGGGTCTACTGAATGCAATAAAACTACAAAATCCATTATCCCTGATGACAATGAAAAAACAAGCCTTACAATTCATATAACCATGAAAAAAAAAATATATATATATATATACCTAGGAAGGCTTTCTAGGAGGACTAGGAAATAAATGAAAGAAATGGATACTCATATGAGTTGGATAAAAAGACCACAGTAGGTAACAGTTTCACGGCCTAGTTGCTTGAGTTTGCTTGGTCACTTTCAGTGAGTGTCGTTTCCTCTATTACTTGAGATGGTTCCAGCAGTCTAAAGTGTTCATGTAGGGCTGGAAGGGACCTGAGCATATTATACATCCGAACTCGTAATCTCAGTGAAGGCAGGGACTTCACTCTCCCAACTGATGACGACAGTGACTTCCACACTTTGGAAGCTTCACTCTGGAAGATTTTTGTTCTAACAGTGTAGAGGATAAAAATTTGCAATCCCTGAGGAGAGAATAAAAGTTTAACACTAGGTAAGTACTGAGGCCAAAGGGAAAAAAAAAATGGCAGAGATTCTACTCACACAGCCACCCATCCTTCTCATCACTTGCAGTAGCTCCCCAAATTGAATTTACAGTGCTGTGTGTGACCTTATCTTATATGAAGTACAGCAGGTAAGAGTGGCACATGTAGAAGACTTGAGTTCATGTCCTGGCTTGCCACTTGCTGTCTGTGCAACTTCGCTCATTTCCTAACCCCTTGCTGAAGGGGGGCAGATTAACAATAGAATGCTTAACTCCAGTTCCAACATTCTGCACTTCTAGATTCTGGAGTTTTAGCGACATAACTAGAAATTTGTTGCATTTAAGGACAAAAAAAAAATTTTTTTAAATCTTGCCATCCATTACTTTTCTGTACTTTACATATAAAGACCTGCTATCTCAGGAAAGACTGAGTAATATTTTCTAAACTGCCATTTATTGAAGTATATATCAGACATTTTTTTCTCATTTAAGTCTCATCATTTGAACATTCTCATTGAACCCTATAAAATAAGTCTCACTATTCCTATGTTGCAGATAAGGAAACTAAGTTACAAAGACTTGGTTCATATAAATTAAGTAAATTGCCCAAGATTACCTAACCAGTAATCAGTGAAGTTTGGAAGTAAATGTATCTATTTTGGGCTTCCAAATCTCTCTTCCTTCTAATTTGTGATACTGCCTCTTGCTTTTAACTATAATTGAAAGATATTGTAAAAAAGTAAATTACAGTTTCTAAGAGGATTTTGTTAATTCCTAATTGCCTTTGTGGAAATAACAGATTAAATAGCATCTGTAGCTGAGTCAATAATATGTACCAGTGTTAGTTACTTTCTTTTTTAAAAAAATTGCTCAATAACTTATTTATTTATTTATTTATTTATTTATTTTATGTGGTGCTGAGAATCAAACACAGTGCCTCACACATGCTAGGCAAGCACTCTACCATTAAGCCACAGCCACAGCCCCAGTGTTAGTTTCTTGATTTTGAAAATGTACTGTGGTTCCTCAAGAAACTATCAAACTTGGGAAGTCTGGACAAAGAATATATGAATGATTTTTTCCAAATTCTCATGTTAAACTATTTCTAAATAAATTAAAAATAATAATCACAGATACCTCCCAGACTGTCATCTACAGTGCCCCAACCCTTATAAGATTTGTTTCTAGAATTATATCCTGTGAGTAGTGTTACGGGAGCCTTCTGCTATATGGTGAGCTAATACAAAGACTCAGAATCTACATCTGTTTTGTGGGATACAATATTTCATCTTGTTTTTCCAAATTTTAAATTCTAAGGTTAAAAAAAAAGGATGATATCAAATTTGTAGTTGTATAATAGTTAGAAAAAGACCCTAAATTGTGAGAGTTCATAAAGACTTCATCCTGTGGGATTCTCTCTGGGTAGACTCTCTAAAATTCCAAAGATGTTATTTGAAAAAACAGAATGTGTGAACCAAACTAATTACCACTTACACAAATATTAATCTGTGCCTTTTGTACTATCCAGAGCACTTAATGTTTATCAGAATTAAAGCACTGTAAATCCATAAGGAACCTAGATGTGCTTCTATATGTGGAAACAATCTGCACGTGGCTCTTGGTGTGTATCTAATGGGAGCATCTACGTAAGGCTAACTTAGATCCTTCTGTAGGTGAGCTAGTCAGTCATTCATGAAAATCTCCTGGGTTCCTCATTTAAACTTTGAAGTTTCCTAGTTCTTACTACTGTAGCTTCTAATTGAGTAGGTTAGTGGTGAAGCCCTAGAATCAGCATTTTAACACACTGCATAGGTTCTGATGTAGGCAATATTCAGAACCATTTTGAGAAATATTATGTTGTTTTAACCCTTGCCACCACCTTCTATTTTATACTTTACTTACCCACAGAGATTGTGTTGCTTTCCTAAAATCATACACATCATTAATGGTAAAGCTAGAAGACAGCCTAAGTTTCCTTTCAACCCAATGTCTTTGTCAGATCACTACCCTCAAGTTTACCATGTGATATTGAAGCCAGAATTAGACAGGCAGTCAGTTTAGATAGGTAAATCCAGTCAGATCAGATCAAGGAGGCCAATTTGAGGGAGTTCAGAAAGTTGAAAAGGGATTGAAATATTAACTCCTTCAGAGCCCTTCTTCCACCCTTATTAAGATAACCTGCCCCTACTCCAACCTGTTGCTAAGGTAACCTGTCCCAGGGATTGTTTCTCCTTATAGGGGGTTGTTAATTATGCCCCCTTCCTGCCCTGATTACTCCAACTTGGCCCCTCCAGCCCAGCTGCTTCTCACCTTTTGGCCAACCCACCTAGCATCTCCTGGGCCTAGTCACATACGGAAGAAGGAGAGAGATAAGAGGAAGAGAACAGGAGAACCAAGGAAGCCTAAGTCCTGTAAAAGAGGCAGAATGTCCCCACTTCTTGGGATACCATGACACCAGCTATGGCCCCCTTCTCCCTCCTGGGAGAAGAAGTTACCCCTTTTTAAACAAACCCTGCTTTATATGCTTGCCTTGGCATGCTTCTCTCATGTTACAGTTCAACATGTGAGAGAGGAGAACTCATCATGGATAACCAGTGGTATCAGTATTATCATCTTGTAATGAAACTCTGCTTTGTCATTTGCCTCTCCTATGCATGGAGAATACCCTTCTTTCAGAGTTTTCCTTTAATCCCTGTTTACTCTAGGAAACAGGACCCTGGGTACACTGGCAATCTGAGACTTAGTTTTTTCCACTAGTGCCCTTCTAGGTAGTTCCCATTGGGCGTTGAGAACAGTCAGGAACTGCTTTTTATTTTCAAATTTAGTGGTAGGCACACACCTATTGTCTATGGGAGTTAGTCCAAACAGGCACTGAAGAAGGCTATTTGGGATAAAGGATAAAGTGCTTAGAAATTAAATATGGCATAGCAATTCAGACATCCAAGCAGCTCCCCTATAGTGGTGGATCATGATTTGGGCTAAGTCAAATTTACCTACTGCCCTTACCAACAATTTTCATTTTGTATCAGAAACTTCCTTCCTTAATGATATTTGATCATAGCCAAACACAAATAACATGATACCATCCTTGCACAGTAGTGATTACTGAGTAATGACTGCTACTCTCAGGAAATTAATGGGATAATCATTAAACACTGCAGTTTCATCATGAAACATTAGAGAATTATGCTCCTTCCTGATATTGAACATATCTACATGCATGTTTCTTGCACTCAGAAAAATTATGTGCAAGAAGGTGAGACTTGTATGTATGAGAAGATAATTGTAGAATTCAAATAGAATAAACAAATTATCTATGTGGATTCTATTAATGTCAATTTCCTTGGCATAATAATATATTATAGTTATACAAATCCAAAAATTCTAGGAACATGAAAATACTGCATTGAATTGTGTAAAGTTAACAGATAAACATTAAAATAAAAATTAATAGAAAGTAACAATAAAAGGAAATTTTACATGCCTCAGTTTTTGTTGAGAAAGTTAATGGTGTGTTTTATAGAAGATAATTTTATAACGAAAATATTAATCACCTTTAAAAAGTATACATGTGACATAAAAATAGTGTTAGGAGGTAATACCAATAAATATCAAAATGGGAAAATTTCAGAAAATTATAGCAAATGTGGATTTTAGGAATTAAAATCCTGCTTTTCAGGGCTGAAAGCCTGTGAGATTTCAGATTTCCCCATGCCGGTGGTTCAGTGATAAAGTTTGCTCACACAGATGGCCCTGTTTTAATGTGACCACTTTAAGAGCATGGCACATTCATTACATGGAAACATAATGAATTCCACTGGCTCAGAGATAGGACCCAAAAAGATAGATAGTAAAGTCCTCACAGTATTTTTCATCAGAGTTAAAAATAATATTTGCTATGGGAGGAAGCATAAAGTAAAGAGCACAAAGAGAAATTCAGACTTCAAGATGTCTTTCAAAAATGCATTCTTGTTTTATTTTAAAGTTCTAGTATCCTCCATACATAAAACACAAATACAAAGGTTTAAAAAAAAGTCACTTCTCTGAGTTCAAACAAACTTATTTTTTCTACCATTTTAGTTTATTTTTATCACCATTTTTATGATGATTAAAATCAGAAGGTGACTATAAACCTTAGTCTAAATTTTCTGTTTTGTAGAATAATTTCCAAGGGGGGAAAACATATAAAAGTTTTTAGATTTCAAAGCAAAGTGTAATGGAATATTTTACAAAAGGTTTGTGGCTAAATATATCTCTAAGACTCGAGGAATAAAAAAGCATCTTTAGTCCTATGTAAAATTATGCCATAAAACAACCTCACAGAACTCTGCTACTATAATGTCAACCCTCCTGTAAATAATTATAAACTCTGGATATAATATCTCTGGAAAGCTACTGAAGACATTGTAGGACAACCCAAAGCAATCTGAAATTGGAAAGAGAGAATATGCTTTAAAAAAGAGATCAACACTAAGTAGGTTTCCTGTTTTATGTCACTTTTTAAAAATATCTTTTAGCCTGAAGACAGACCCTATTCACCTCATTCTCAGGATGACTAAACCTGGAGTTGAAATATGCAATCTTTTTAGGATGAAGAAACAAACGACAGGGTTTGGGGCAACTATAGCAGCTAGAAAATAGGAAATAATATCTAAGAAAGGAGTAGACAGAGAGAGGGAACCCCAAAGTCTGTTTATAATCTCTTCCTAAATCTCTTTCTGAACAATGTACACATAGGAAAGACCTTAAGAAATCCAGCTAAAGCATAAAGGACTAAGCAGGGATTTAGCTATCTGGCTAAGGAGAGACCAACTTTTCAGTTTTAGACCAACTAAGTTAATTGTCTGCTAACTCCACTCTTGGTAGAAATATAATAACATGCAGATTTGTTGTAGTAAATTATTTACAATGTGAAGGAAACAAAAAAAATTACTAAAAACTGAATAAACAAGAAAAGATTTTAAAGAAAAAAGGCAATCAATAGTGACTGAAATGACCTAGATATTAGGTTTAACAGACAAAGAATTAAAGGTAAGATGCTTAAGGGTGAAAAGGAAAACATAATGACTAAAAAGTCAGAGTTAAATACTATAAAGCTATAAAAAGATCAAATTCTTAAAGTAAAAACTACAGTATCTAAAATAAAAATCACTGAATAAGCTTATCAGCAGTCTGGAACTAACTCTAGAAAAAGTCAGTGTCCTTAAAGATAGACCACTAGAATTATCCAATCTAGTGAACAGCAAGAAAAAGGAATGAGGAAATGAGCAAAGTTCAGGAAGCTGTGAAGCAACATCAAATGACTTAACAAATGTAATTTGATTCCTAGAAAGAAAAGAGGAAGAGTGAGGCAGAAAAAATGATTTAAAAAAATAGTGGTGAATATTTTCTCAACTCTGGTGAGAGATATAATCTAATAGATGCTGGAAGTTCAGCAATCCCAAGAAAAATAGATTTAATCAGGAGACTGAGATAGGAGGATCACAAGTTCAAATCCAGCCTCAGCAATGATGAGACACTAAGCAACTCAGTGAGACCCTGTCTCTAAATAAAATTCAAAATAGGGCTGGGGATGTGGTTCAGTGAGTTTAATCCCTGGTACACGCCCCTCAACAAAACACACACACACACAACTAGAGAGATAATCCTAAAGAAACCAGAGAAAAAATATATAGGAGACCAATAATATGAACAACTAAGAATATCTCATTAGAAAATGGAGTAGCATGTTAAATTACTTGTTCATAACACTAAAAGACTGAAAAATCTCTAGCCACCCAGAATTCTATTATCTAATGAAAATATCCTTCAAGAATGTAAGCAAAATAAAGACATTTTTAGATTCAAGAAAAATGGAGAATTTGTCACCAGAAACCATACATAATAATACATTCTTAAGGGATATTTATGCTAGAGGGGAATGATACCAGAGGGAAAGTCACATCTTCAGAAAGGAAGGAAGAACATGGGAAACAATAGATATGTAAAAAAGCACCTTTTCCTCTTTAATTTCCTTAAAATATGCATCTGATTAAAGCAAAAATAATAACATTGCTTTGTGGCATTTATAATTTATACAGATAGAATACATGAGAAAACTATAACAAAGGAAAGGGAGGAAGAAAAGCAGAATTATATTATTACAACATTCTTATATTTTACTGAGAACAGTAAAATATTAATTTGACTATGAAAACTTAAGAATGTATGATGTATCTCTAAATGACCCCCCCAAAATGCAAAAAGGTATTGCTTAATTTCCAAAATATGAACTTCAATGGATTCCTAATAATGTTAAATTTACTTAAAAGTAGGTAGGAAAGGAGGAATAGAAAATGAAAAACCTAATAGTCACAGGAAATAAATAATGAAATAGAAGATACAAAATAATCTATATCAATGAACACACTAAATATAAATGGACTTAGCATTCTAAATTAAAAGACAGAGATTGTCAAAATGGATTAAAATGGTATTTGCTATCCACCTGATACATAATTTAAATACCAGGTACAGAGGTTGAAAGTGAGTAGATGGAAAGATATATATATATATAAAACATGTAAGCAATGTGCATCAGAGGAAAGCTGAATAACAAAGTATACTTCATGACAAAAAGTACTATTGGAAAAATAGAGCTTTTATTCAAATAATGAAAGAGCCAGTTCATAAAAACATAACAATTGGGGCTGAGGTTGTGGCTCAGTGGTAAGAGTGCCCACCTAGCATGTGTGAGGCACTGGGTTTAATCCTCAGCATTACATAAAATAAATAAATAAAATAAAAGTACTGTGTCTATCTACAGCCCAAAAAAGTCATAACAATCACAAATGTACATGCATGAATCTGAGTTTAGTTGTTCAGTCTTTTTGCTGAAAATATGTGAAGCAAAAAGTGATAGAAACAAGGAAATAAATAAGCAAATTCACAATTATAAGTGGAGATTTTAACTCCTTATTCAGCTATTGAAAGAACCAAGAAAAAAATATTGATAAGGGAGAAAATCCATACAACACTAATACTCTTTGACTTTACTGATGTTTTTCAAACCTTACATCCAACAACTACAGAACACACATTTTTTTTCCCTAAGGGCAAAAATTTTGTTCATCAAGATAGCTCAAGTATTGATCCATAAAACTAGTCTTAATAAATTGAAAAGAATTGAACCAAAAAAATTTCAATCAACTCACAGGGATTCAAGCTTCAGCAATTACTAACATTGTCCATACAAACTATGATAAGAAACTTCATAAATCTGTTTCAATGGAGAAAAGAAAAGGATGTGTTTCCCAAGCCAGTTGCTTGACAAAATATTTTCTACTCAGAGAGAAGGAACAGGGACAAATGCGGCTCTACCCTACAGCAATTATATTCTATGACCTCTGGCCCAGGAAGTTATATGGTAAGTCAAAAAGATCTTTCCTTCCCTTTCCCACAAAATGTATTGAAAATAGAGTCTCTTAAATGTAAGTAAGCAATGACCTTCAGAGAGTTTTAAAAGAAGGAAACTTTGGTCCAGGGTGACCGTCGCTCCACTGCAACATGCTCTGGTGATTTCAGACTAGTTCATACCATACCTGAGTAGTGTTGAAAAGGCAGAATATGTAACTGAAGACAATCCTGATGTCATCATCATTAATTAGCATAAAGTATGCCAGAATCCAGGTAACTCCAAAAACGACTGCAATAGATAATGTGCTAAGAATCTTCTTTAGGGATGAAACCTTCTTTGTGCTAAGTGAGAGAAAACAAGAAATAAAATATATTTTTTAATTTATCAATATCATTATTACCCCTATTTAGCATGCTTATTCAGCTACTCATCTACATTTTTCATTTAATGGTATTATTTTCAGTTGGAAAATCAAAGATGCTAAACCCATGTCACCTGATTTAGCAAGCTTTATTTAAAAATAACCTAATACCTTTTTAAAAGCTCAGGCAGAAACAGTTCCTCAAATACTACTGCAGGCAAATTTCACTAAGAATCAACTTTTTCATTAGAATGGAATTTAGAGTAATGGTGTCAGTGATGAATTTCTTTTATGTTTTTATTTGGTGTGGGGGGGGATAGTGATCTTTAACCTTCCTATGTCTTGATAAAATAGATGTTACTTAGATGTGGAATGATGTTCCCTCTCATGGAAAGCCTAGATCACTGGCTTCTGCTCTTGGCCATGTGACTTACTTGGCCAGTGAAACATCAACAAATGTCAAAAGCAGAGATCTGAAAGAATTAGTTCATCAGACTTTATCCTCTCTCCCTGCTCTCTGGAAACCTGAGATCACTATGTTCAAAATCCTGGATTGATCTAATGGAGGAGGAAAGACAATAAGGAGTTGAGATGAACTTTTCCGACTGAGTAGCTGCTGCCCAGACCACCAATCATCAGACATGAAGTAAGGCATCCAAGATCATTCATCAGCATTTGAGTCAGCCAAGACCAAACAGCTACTCAGCCAACACTCAAAATTCATGACAAATAATAAATATTTTTCATTCTAGGCCATTAACTTTTGAGAAATTTGTTATGTAGCTAACTGAAATATGGAAGACAATTTGTTAAACAATGAAATCATATATGTTCATCATAACTAAGCCAATTTAAGAACCATCAGCTATTGGTGAGTCAAAATTTTAAAATACAAATTTGGTTTGTGTCTGTGGACCAAAAAACATATTGTTTTGTATAAAGGAAATAAAAACAAATTTGCAATTAGGCTAAGAAGACTTCACTAACATTTTTCTGGCACTGCTACTAAAACATAGGTTTTAATGTTTAACAGTGATGGTATTTTCCCCATATTTCCCCTTATTGTGAAATAACATTCAAATTGAAAAGACCTTTAACTGGTAAAGCACATATTCAAGATTGTATTCTCACTAAATAATGGTAGTTTTCATTCATCAGTTCATACCAAGTAAATCCATTTGTGAGTTTACTGTAAATTCACAAATATTTATACAGTAAATATACTTGGGATGAGCAGAGCCTTGCAGAATTAAATCTGAACTCATAGCTTCATTAGCACTGTGTTCTAGCCAATTGGTGCTTTGGAAGTGGGGGAAGAATATATGTGTTTGACATATTCTATTCTTTGTCTCTTCAACTGAAAGCTCTTGTCTCCTATTAGAGGTAATACTGCACATGCTTATCAGGGCCAGAAAGGTTAGCGTAAGGAGAGGAGCAGTGAGAACAGAACTGGTAAACCAGAGAGCACAGGTTCCATCTGCAGGAAATCTGCAGGCTCACATTTTCCTCACAAAGTGTTGCCAGGTGTTCCCATTTTTTTCAAGAGAAAATACAAATTTTAAGTGAAATCTCCCATTTTTAAAATATATTTGAAAGTAATTAAAAAATGTAAAGCCATTGTGTAATTCAAGCCATGCTGGTAAAATAAAAACTACAGGTACTGATTTATAAAATAAAAACGCAGGAAGCTGCATCTCCTCACAACCCTTTCATTTCTGTAATTCAAATAATTCAAATTTCTTGAATATTTGGAGTTGGAGGGAAAAGTTTTCCTGAAAATCTTTGGGTTTAGAAATTTAGAGCTTATCTAACACAAAGGTGTGCAGTATACTCACATTGCAATACTGATGTTAGAAAATAAGAAGATATACTTTATAAATCAAAGGTTTTAAGAAAATCTTTCCTGAATGCCACACACCCCTGCCTTTGTCTCAGAGTTTGAGGCACCCAGGCACTATCCTCCTCTTGCCTGAAAGCCTCCCACTCACTGAGAATCTTACCTTGTCAGATTTTGGTTATTCTTCCACAGCACTTTAATTGTGATTACAATAAATATAACAACATTGCTGATGAGGATAATGATTGTAGGTATAAGGAATGACCACAAAAATGGACTCTTTATAAAGTCATTGTTGTTTGGAATTGCTAGCCAGCAGCTAAGAAGAAAAAAGAAATTATTTCAGCAGACCTTGAAAAGTATAAATACTTGTTCCTTGTCCTATTAAAATTATTGACCTTTACTCACTGAAATACCTGCTAAAAGTCTACATGTCTTTGCATCTTATACATTTGAGATTACTTTTGAGAATTCAAACCCCTAGAAAAGTGAAGTATGGACTTCTCTAGTCATCTTTCTCTATGAGTCAGTGAGGGTTAGCGGAAAGAAAGTGGACATTGGAGCCAGACAGTCCTAGTTACTCCCTGCCACTTATGAGGTTTCTGACTTTAGGCAAGTTATTGTTTTCATTTTACTTTTGAATATATAGCTTATCCAGGAGGTTCAATATATGAAAGGTACAAGTGGACATAGATGGGCAATATTTTCAGTTACCTAATTACAATCAATGTTTCTTATATATCCTGCCAGATTTAGACTCAAAATACATCCAAAAAATGCACATTTTTTCTTGATTTTTAAATAAACATCAACATCTGCTTCTAACAACTATCTTAGAGGTCATTCTATAGCAGAACACTAAAAGTACCTTCATTAATTTTATAACTGCATATTACTCCATCATTTTTTATATGCCATAACTTATTTAAACAGTTTCCAATACATTGATGGACATTTTCAAATGTTAATATTTATAAAGACTTTGAGAAATTTATTTAATTTCATGGTACCTCTTTTGTTTTTTGTGGATTATTTGTTTTGTCTTTTGATGATGCAGGTTGTGGGGGTTTGTTTTGCCAAGGCATTGTTGAAATAATTAAGAAGTATTTACAGAGTCTATGCTATGCACCAGACACTATTTTAGACACCAAAGTGTTTGCAGTGAGCAAAACAAAATCCCTTCTTAAATTTATATTGTAGTGCACAGATCTAGGTAAAACAACAAACAAAATGTATGTCAGTGATAAGTGCTTTAGAGAAAAGGAACAATAGGAGTAGAAATTTATATATATATATATATATATATATATATATATTTCAAATACATATATGGGGAGAGAGAGACAGAGAGAAGAATGTTTGATTTTAAATAGAGTAGTCAGGGAAAGCTGCACGTAAAAAAAGTGATCCTTGAGCAAAATTCAAGAAGTAGATAAGGGGGAAGGGTATTCCAGCTAGAGGTTACAGTAAGTGCAGAGGCCCTGAGGTGACAGCCTAAGAAACACAGAGGCTGATGTGGCTGAGACACAGTTCATGACTGGGGTTTATGGAAAGATTTAAATCACATAGGGGGATTTACAGGCAAATTCTTGTGCCCTGGATAACATGGAGAGGCATGGCCTGATCTGTTTTGAGTTTTAAAACCATTACTATAGGGATGCTAGAAGGGCGTGAGCAAAAATAGGAAACTAGGAATTTACTGCAGTAAGTTGAGTGGCCTGGACCACAGAAGCAGATGCTAAGAAAAAGTCTGATTCCAGGAGTATTTAAAAGTAAGAAGACTTATTGATGGGTTGGATTTGAGACGTTGAAGAACTATGGATGACTATAATTTTTGGCCTGAGCCTCTGGAAAAATGGAATTACCATTAAATGAGATAGGAAATATGATGAGATGAGCAGGTTTGGGAGGGAAGACAAGGAGATGTCTATTACACAGCCAAGCAGAGTTGTCAGGTAGGCAGTTTGGTATTAAGAAAAAGCCGAGCCCACAGCTGGCATTAAATTAACATTTATTTTCTTTCTTTTGGAAGTGCAGCACCATTATTATATATTCCAAAGGATTTCTAAATTTTTTTGTATTGAAATGTTATTATTCACATGATTAGAAATCACATTTCAAATCTGAATAGCCTCCTAGGAAACTCAAATGACGTTCAAGTTTCTCTAATGAATTTTAAAAAGGCATGCCTGCCTCTAACAGATAGAATGGGTCCACTCCTAAATACAATAGTGAGAAGGAGAAAAAATGTTTCCAGGACTTCTAGCTTCCCTTTTCATTCCCCTGTGACTGGAGGACAAAATTCCTCCCACTTTTGCACCTCACAAACCCATACACAGAAGAAATCTGAAGGCTCTTGGCTTAGAAGTTAATAAAATCCTGATGAGAACTACTTTCAAATCTCTAGAAACTTCTGGCAACTAAGCATGTAGCTATTAAATTTTTTCAAAAGAAAGGAGGGCCTATTTCTTATCTAGGCAAGCTTGAGAAACAGAATTTAAAAGGGCGGGAAAGACAGAGAAAGAAAATTGTCAATTCAGCTCTGTTGGATAAAGGCAGACTTGCCAATCCTGAAATAGCTATTTAGACTTTAGAAAATACAAGTTTTCAGAATTTCTATTTGTACTGGGGCCAGAGTGGGAGGTGAGGGAGGAGTGTGTGTATGTATGTGTGTGTACCTATTGTATTCAGGCATAGACCTATTCTATCTGTTGGAGGCAGGCATGCCTTTTCATTTTTAAAATTCATTAGAGAGACTTGAACATCATATGAGTTTCCTAGGAGGCTATTCAGATTTGAAATGTGATTTCTAATCATGTGAATAATAACATTTCAGTACAAAAAAAAATTAGAAATCCTTTGGCATGTCCAATAATGGTGCTGTACTTCCAAAAGAAGTGTGTGTGAATGAATACACACATCTGTCAGACTCCCAAGGAACCTCACACTTAAGGGGGTGCTGGAAGAGCCATGCACTTTGGTATCCATGTCCATCAGGAGGCATGCATTAGGAGGGGACCCTTGCCTCCTCTATCCTTTGCCCTACTTGGAACAAAAGGTAGTCAAGCTAGATTTGTTCTCACAACACCCCATCTTTGCTATTCTGACTTGAATGATTCAGATTTTGAGAAACAGATGGCTAAGAAAGGGTATGGATTCTAGAATGAGACTAACCCTTATAGTTATGAAGCGGTGTTCCTAAAAATGAGATTGGAGAGTCACCAGATGGATGTTGATTTGAAAAAGTTAAGGACCTGAGACCTACACAGCATCAGAGGTGAACCTCGGGTGAAGTGTGAAATTTTGCCATGACTGTGGGGAGAAAACACTTTAACATTTAGAGCAGACGCTTGGAAAATTTACCCCCAAGTTGGTATAATCTCTCATGATTAGTCTCAACCTTCCCCTTCAGGAAAGTCTGAAAGCACCCACGTGGTGGTAGTATAGAGAAGTAGGCAGCAGAGTGTTAAAAGGAAGTGTGGCCTGCTCTGCATTCATGCCTTCACTGTGCCAAGCAGAAAGAGGAGTAGATCAGGGAGCCCGTCAGGCTCTCAGGCAGGACCAGCAGAGCTGGGAGCAAGGCAGGACAGCACAGAACACTGAAAACCACTACTGGGAGACCAAAAACAATTCCTCCTCTTTTCCCAGCATATCCTAAAGAAATGTGACCTGTGATGGTCTGTGCATAGGGTAGAAGGTGGGGAACAAAGGCTGAAGATGGACTGAATACATGTTATACACTCTTTCCTCCTCCCAACTTCTCCTATCATCAGTCACTTAGTGTTGTCCCCAACATCTAACACTGTACTCAGGAAAGGATCTGCTCTTTATTATTCACAGTCCAATGTGAATACATTTAAATTAATTGGCTAATTTCTCCGGATAGCTTTAACAAGAGTGGTTGAGACCTGTGCCTGGGCTAAGGTAGGAAATTAATAATGTAATTGAAAGTGAATTACCTCCCTTATGAGATAACTGCACATTATCCCTTATCTCTAGTTGTGGAATTAAAAATTTAAAACTCTAAAAGATATTGAACCCTATTTAAACAAAGAGAAAAATAGTGTCTGGGAGTGGGAGATCTGGCCAGGCAGCCAGCTGCCTCCTCTGAAGCTGGCATGGCCAGGTCCCAGAGCCGCAGTCTCCTCTTGGGTGTTCTTCTACACTTTCCAGAGTCTGGTTCTAATATGAGTTGGTTTGAAACTTAAGGTGGAATCTGAGGATAATAATGGTTGGATTTATAAAATGAGAGGGAAGGATAAATTAATGAGTTCTTGCCATTCAGCAATAGAAATGCATGTAAAGAGTTGACTCTCAGTTCAGCTCAGCTTTCTTCTCTCCCTCCCCACGTAAAAAGCAAACACCATACACCCGAGTACTTTCACTATAAACAGTTAATTATTCATGCTGAGTCATGCTTGACCACTCAAGGTAATACTAGAGCACTGTCACTATTATTGTGATTTCCATTTTCTAGATGAGGAAACAAAGAAACGGAGTTACTATGGATCATAAGTATTGTGCCACATGATTTTCATACCTAATGAAAGAAGGTAAACCTCATATAAACGAGTTCAGATTTACAAAGTTAGAAGTTGATTGTTTCCTTTATGAAAGAATTTATACTAGGAAATGTCCATGCTGCCTCATTAAAAATATAATGTTCTTTGAGACAATATGACAATTATAAAGTGAGATACATTTGTACAGGGACATATGATGAGTCACCATCTATTGAATAAATGGACTTTTAAAAAAATATATAAACTCACATTTCTTCTTGCCGGTAGTCTAATTCCCAGTGTGAATTATTCCCACTCTGGGAATAAATAATTCCCACTGTAATAGCCACTACTATAGCTGGTGTTCCTGTGAGACAAAGAGAGGCACAAGATTAATAATTTATCCAATACTGGGATTAATTACAAAATATCATGAATGAATTAGACATCAGACCCTCTTCAGGATGCCTTGTTCTTTCCACTGTGGACAATACACTGATCCACAAATGCAGGTCATCAGTATTCGTAATTTTTCTGAGCTTTCTTTTCTCTTTTAGTGTTAGCTATACCTACTAATCCTATACTATTTCTGATTTCTTTGTAGCTCTTACCACAATATCCATCATACATGGCTTAATTCCTCTTTCATTTGAATAAATTGAAATTTGAATATCACTAAAACAATTATTTCTGCTAACTTAATAAACTTTTCAAATAATTATTCTTAAAGGATCACTCTGATTATCTTTCTTGAAACATTTCTTTCAAAATAGCTGGGAAATTAACTATTCATGGTCTACATCTCAAATACATTAATAGATATTTTTTAAAATTAAGTTTTGAGTTACTGATGATGTATCTAGTATACTTATCTTCATCATATCTACTTCCTTCACTGGAGTGTAAACCTCTAGACAAAGAGAATTCTTAGTGATTGCTCTATTTTCTACTCCCCTTCATCAAGGTCTTAAAATATTAAGACTTTCAAATGGTGTTCATTTAAATTAAATGGTTGCATCAAAATTGCTTATCCCACTGAGTAAGTGGAGATACAAGCACTTACCCCATCCAATTAATGAGATGAAAATAATGAAATGTGGAGGAAGAGGCTTCATGGCTCTGATAAGAAGGAAATAAAGCTGTGAAGCACTGAGTCCACTCCAGGTAAATGTGGCTAACAGAAAATAGTGCAGGAAGGCAGCAATCACTGTGCATGAGGGATTCGGGGTTTCAATAGTGTCCTCTGTGAGCATTTGATTATCACCAAAGTCAATATTTATGTCACTCTCTCTTCTACTCAAGTTTTTATTAGAGTTTTCAATACCAAACACAAAAATCAGGTTGAATATCAACATCGATGTGCACAGACTAACCATCACCCAGGTGACTGAGGTTTTTCTGACTTTCCTAAAAATAAACAGTAGAAATGATTAAATGAAAGCAATACAATTCCAAGAAAAATAAACACCAGTGAAATTGTGAGGAAGTAAAGGGATATTATTACCCACTCTTATTCCAACTCGTAGCTCAACTCACAGACCAGCGGGTAAATCTACCTTCCTAATGGCACCAGAAAAACATGGTGTGTTCTTTTCTCATTTCTACAAAGTAGTGAGTTACAGGGAACAGGTTGATGCATCCTTTCTTGAAACT